TGCCTCATCGAGTCACCACACCCGGATATCAGCTCCACTCTCGCCCGTCGACTCACATAAAGCGTTGATGCTTCCTGAAAACCACCGGTCCACTCCGTCAGCATCGCCAGCTGCCACTCCACTGCCTTTTGACCGGGTTCTGTCCCACGCTTTCACAGTCGACGTCAGCAGCACCATCCGCTCTACGCGCAGGACCGATTCCTGCGTCCAGCCGTCTTCCAGGCGTCCATTCCCGTCCAGTGTGCCACCCCACGCGCCCATCTGGCCCCGCGCATTGCGCACTCTGCCCTGAAATCCAACTATAAGGTTCATCCACCTGTACCATCCGTGAGCCTCCCAGCCAATTAGACAAGGGTTACCTGCATCAATCCCCACGCCGCATCTTTTACCCCAGACTCACGGCATTTTGTCCTAATCCACGCCTCGAGGTCACATACAGCAGCTTCCAGACCGTGCCCTGCAATAGTGTCACCTCTACGCATGCCATCGGTCCGTAACTGAATCGGTACGATTGCTTACAGCACCTTGTGTCATATACACCCGAGGTATCCAGGCGCCACACATCCTGCTCTCCAAGTTACACATCTCCGGCTTGTGGGATGAATTTCGGCTTCAAAAACAATACTTCGCACTGGCCCGTTGGACAAGAACACATCAACCGATAGTCTGGTCAGATCCCCCGCGTTTTCATCTGTGGCTGCACGCCATCATCGCGATCTTAAGGCTCTCGGAATAACGATAAGCTTGCTTTTTCTACGGTTTCTGGAGGCTCCACGGACCTCTTAGCAAGCCTCGTCAAGCTTGACTTGCCGAATCGGAAAGTGATCCCGAATCCAGCTACCCACGGGCACGCGAGCGATCGTCATCGAAAACGCCTATTCTTATCTATTTTTTGTGGCACGTAATGGACTCATCTTTGACACTGCTCAGTGCGAATATCCGTATTCTGGTACGTGGGCCTTCCCCTCATCATGCGTTCTGCTGCATTGCATGGTAGCAAAAGTGTCCGTGTCTTACACCGGAGAGAGCCTTGGTGGCGGGTCCTTCATGCACGACATAACGGCAGGGCAACTCTTATAATTCGCCTCCCACACTGAAATTTTCTCTCCCATGGACATCAGCTAACATGATCACCTTCAAGGATACCCAACTCGCTCTCATACACATCCCGCTGCCTCTGTATCGCAACTTTCTCCAGTCCATTCTTCAGCTAGTTTTGCCCAATGCGACGCGCAAGTCTTATGGGAACGGCTCTGGCGCCGTGCAGCCGCCCAAAGGCTGGCCCTGCGAACATCCTTTTGTGAATATCTCCATTACACCAGTCGAGTGCTCCATAGTATGCTCGAGGACGCTTGCGAGTGAACTATTTCTGCCTGTTCTCAACTTGCTGGATCCTGAGTCAAGAGCGTCTGTCAGTATTACCACAGATGACTATGTCGTAATGCAAGTCGATGGCGAGGGACTTGATGCCGGTCAACGCGTCTTGGAGCTGACAAGCCCTCTTGCTCTGGCTGGAATGTAAGTAGAGGCTATCACAAAGCTTCCGCACAAGGCTGACTTCATTTTAGTCCCATATTCTTCATCACCACTTACTTCTCCGACTACATTTTGGTCCCACTGCGACACCGATCGCAGGTTGTACAAGCGCTAGAAGAGCGTGGTTTTCAGTTCGAAAAAGACACTTCCTCATACGTCAACTCCTTCCAGCATGCCCGCAAACACTCAGCCGCGTCACTGGAAGTTCAGCCGCCCAGCACCCCTCCGCCAACCACAATTTCAGAGCTTCAAACCAGGACCTTCGCTACACTCAAGCGTCGTCACATCGTTCCCACGGTGGATTCGAGCATCCGGCTCGTGCAGTGCGCCGGTCGACGCGACAGTACAAATGGCATGTCTCAAGCTCGAAACCGCAACAGCATGACAACATCCGCCGACGACGCACTCCACCTCGGTCTCGTAAAATGCCTCATCACGCAACCATATCCGAAATTTTTATCGCTCACACTAACTGATACTGAGTCTGCCGCGCTGCTGCTCGACGAAACCTTACTACCGCATTTCGCGCAAGATACTCTCCTAGGCTCCAGAGATGAGTTCTTGACACCCATCACCTTGGATCTACGAGGTTTGCCAATGGAAAGCACCGGTATTGTGTGCGGTGTAGCTGGCAGATTAGTCGGCGAAACCACAGGGCAACTGGAGGATCCTGTTGAGATGAGTTATTTGAGCACCGCGCGTGCTGGAACCGTCATGGTCGCTGAGCAGGAGCTGGAACGTGCACTGGATGCTCTGCACGGCGCTGAAAATGGTGTTTTGTCGGCAGATGAGTAGTTGTTGTCGTGTAGGAGTGCGGCACAATTCCTTTTTGGATGTGACGACCGGTGCTGGCTGAATCGAGGTCGCTTGCGCCTGCCAAGTATGCGGCCTTCACTTCCCACTCGGCTTGCATCGGCTCCTTTCTTTCACTTCGCGACGAACAACGTTGCTACGATTTTCGCATTCGCTGTATAGGATAGGATTTGGCGACTGGATCAAAAGTTATCATTTATGCGTACAGTCAGTAGCTGTGTACATGCGTGACGTAGCGTCTTCGCCCTAACATCGATTTGTGCAAGTGGCCGCACGCATACCTCACGCCCGCGTGCTGCAAGACAAGAGCGCCCCGCCGCTGGGCCTCTCTTATCCTACCCGCATGTTGTCGATATGCACGACGACGTTCCTTGAACTTCTAGTTCCCATAAGTAACCTTGTTGGTTCACATGGATGCATGAGGGATGTGACAGCCATCCCTTCTCACCAATGACGATCGAGTAGCTCTTTTGGCCCCCACTGCGGCTGAGATCTCGACATGTTTCAGCTCGATCTCACCACAACAAGCCGCGATGTTCTCACATTCCGACGAGTATGTCGGTACTCTACTAGGAGAGGTCCCGGTTCCATTACAGCGTCTAAGAAAGACACAAGGCCGGCCGTGAGCGGCTTCGCCATCATACATGTCTACCGCTACGCACTCACCGCTGGCCTTTGTGGAGAATAAAAACGCGCCCGTGAAGCTGATCGAAGTAACAAGTGATGGCCACGCAAGGAGATTGGAAGTTACCGAAGACTTGATCGAAGGTTACATTGAGAAAGACTTCTCGGTAAGTTGCACTGGCTTTCAAGGTAAATGCATGCTAACATTGAGGAAGACCCATGGTAGCAGGGTTGAGCAGCCGGCAAATGTGGAAACTACCAAGCTCTTGTGAGTATGGTTCATACGTTGTACAATTGTACCGCGCTGACCCTTTCTGTCACAGCTGGTCGAGGCGCGTAGGGGATTACAACGGCAATATGACACCTGTGCCTTTGTCGTCGCACACCTTTGCGCGGGTTGCTCCGTATGCTCGGATACCGAAGATTTATGCCCGAGTTCTAGACTACAGAGCGGCGACATATGTCTTCGCAAGTCCGCAGCTACCCCCATCTCTCTCGCATAAGTCTCTGAAGGCGGTACGCAATAGGTATTTGAGTAAGCGGGAGACTTACACAAATGCCAAGTATGCTGCTTATACCATACTCTAGGCTTTATCCTACAGTCTGTACCCGGTACAGGGTCACCTGTATGCGTCAGCGCTTCTTTCACGTACGACTTCTCAGCACGACATATGTACATCTTTATGCACGGACTTGCAAGCTATAACTACGACCGCTTTTCGTCAGTCATTGAAGAAGGCGCCTCTAGCGCGTCTGCGTTCTTAGTTCCGAGTATCATCATCCGTCACAATCTCGTGGAGCGCGTAAAGGCGCTAAACCTCTGGCAAGATAAGATATATTGGTTCGAGCGGAGGGTTGGCATCCGATTCGATCATCATGACAACCCTGAATTATCCAGTATCGATTTCAGCACGCTCTCCAAGGGTCTGAATGCTGCAAACATCAATATCGCATACATAACGTGGCTGTGTAAAAGCACCACGCGTATGCTCGACTTCCTCGATGAGGTTACAAAGAGATACAGAAGGCAGGCTATGGCCAATAATGTGTCCGAAGACGATGCGGATGAGACAGAGCAAATACTCAACGACTCTCACGCGCATATGCGATCCTGGAACACAGGCCTCGAAGATCGGGCAGAGTACCTTTCCAAGCGAGGACAAGCCCTGGTACAGACTGTGAGTACCACTTGAAGATTCTACTCAGTATACTGACATCTTATACAAGATCTACAGTGGTATTGCTCAGCGCGACTCAGCAATAAGCCTCGAATTGGCGAGCACAAGCACGAGCCTTGCCCAGTCGTCACAAAGCATAGCGCTATCAACCTCACGCGACAGTAGAGTTATGAGAATAATCGCCGCCATCACCGTGTTCTTCTTACCAGCAACCTTTACTGCAGTAAGTTCGTCGCATAGTGAAGTGCATACTTGCAGATCTAATCCTTAGTAGACGTTCTTCAGCACCTCCTTCTTCGACTTCAAACCCGACCAAGACGACAGGATCTACTCACAGTGGATCTGGTTGTACTTCCTGGTAACAATAATCCTGAACTTGACTGTATTCCTTGGCACATGGTATGTGTGGCGAAAGAAAGAGCTCGAAATTATGGCATCTTTCAAGTCAGCAGATAGAGAGCCAGAAGCCCAGACTGTGGAAACATCTGGAGAAAGAATTGATTATGAGACTGCGCAGTATGTTGAGCAGGAGATCGGCCACGCGGCACCGGGGGTGAAGTCGGACACGAACTTGAAATTTGATCAGCCGAGCCAGCGACGAACACGTTACGCCAAAACAGAGACAAACACATAGCGAGAGCGAGAGGACTCTGAAGCACCTCCCACCTGACAAAAATTAAGCAGGCCTAAATACTAGCAAAATAGGCAATCTAGCGTCAACGTGGGCTCTGAGGTGTTCAGCGTTTTCCTAGGTCAACGTGGGAGAGCAATCGAAGACATGCATTGAAGAAGCCATACAAAGTTTTCCACTCTCTGATCCTCCTCCTCCTCTGAAGCGCGCCCAAACTCTCAGCCCCGTCCATACGCAGTAAGATACGCCTTACTATACGCCGGGTCATTCACACGCAGCAACGCAAGCTCAAGAAGTCTTTGCGCCCGTGCGATAGCCACGACAGACTTCATAACAGGATCCCGCTTCAAACAACGACTACCAGGGTTTACATTCTGGCAAGCATCGTCTACCGCGGCATAAGCTTGGGTGAGCGATTCTTGCGCCTCCTTCACCCAAGCGCACTGGTATGCGCGGTCGCCATATGGGATACCGCGTTGGATGTAAAGAACCTGGGCGTCCAACTCATCGATACCAAAAGCTCCTTGCGCCATGACCTCGTCGACGCATCGAATGAGTTGCTGCTCGGGAATGGACTTGGGAGCTTCTGGCACGTCGTATAATGAGAGCAGAACTAAAGGCTTGGGCGATGAATCAACCTCATGGTCGGTGTCGCATGGTGGTTTGGCACTGGTGGCTACATCGGAGGTACTTGATGGACTGTCTTGATGGTATTCTTCGTATCTAACGTTAGGACTGAAGCTTACCCGTCGCGAGTGACTGGCCTTGGGGCCTCTCATATGTGTCTTGTGATATGGATCGGCTGCTCTCTTGGCCAGTCGTGTGAATGTGTCGTATCGATATAAAAAGGCCTCTAGAGTGGTAGTTGGCGGCCCACCTCGTGCGCGGAGTCCATGGCGTCCTTCGATCTGTGTCGTGTTTGGTGGCCTATTCTTTGACGGTCCGGCAGCTATCGTCGTGACACAAGTCTGTGTACCGACATGACAGACGTTGTTGCCCTCTAACAAAGTGCTCTTTTCTACCGATTTGGACTGGCTATACTTCGATGGCCCGGCAGTTATCGGCGGGACACTAGTCGATGTATCGTTGACACTGACTTTGTTCTCATCCAACACCTTTGTTCTTACTAGCATAGCCTGACCCGGCTCAGAAGGCTTACTGTTCGTAACACTAGTGGGTGAAGCGATAGCACCGGTTTTCTTCCAGTCCAACACATCGCTCGTCTCTGCGGATTTGGGCTGGCTAGGCGGAGAAGGCTCAATGCTCGTAGCAACATCCTTCTTTACCTTCTTTACCACACCTAAACGGCATAGCCGCTTGATTGACTCCTCCAGGGCGAATGAAACAGCTGCCTGTGGGGTCTTCGGCTTTGCACAACGGATGTCGGCGTCAATTTTGCTAGCCAACTCTGCTCGCTCTTGATGCACGAGACTTTCCTGCAAGAAATCGAAAGCAATCGGATGCAGAGCCAAAATAGTCTTGCCACTGCTTTTCGAAAGCACATAGCTGCGGAAATTCGGCTTGGTTCGAGCTTCTTCGATAGTGGTTTTGAGAGACCATGTCTGGACGGTCTGGGACTGGTTGTCCATAGTTGCAGAAAGGGCGCGGATGGGTTGAGGTTTGTTGAAGGATGGTGAAAGAACAGACCGAGGCTGAACAGTGGTGGCCGAAGGTCTCCTGAGTAGAGGCAATTTGGGACTCGATGGTCAGTTGAGTTGGCTCTCATAACAGTCAGGTGAGGTTTATGGCTGTTCGGAGTGCAGACTTGTAGACCGTGCCACCCCCTGCCATATCACATTCTTGTTGAAGCGCAAACACGGATTTTCCGCGCCACGATCCAGCGACGGGGGGTGATTCACCAAGCTTTAGGGTCACGGATCTTATTCCCTGCTTTCACAGCAATGGAACTGATAGCGGTGAAATGTCAACGACCTTATCAGGAGTCAAGCCCAGGTGATGTGGACAATACCCTCATAGCATTACGCATCTTTTCGCTGCGACTCGTCCAAGATCAATACGGTGGGTCCAAAATCCTGCTCCTCGAGCGTATCACTATTGATTCCTCTCCTGATGTTCTCGTTCTGAGCTTCTTCTTCCGTGGCAAAGCGGTAGCAACGCGTCTCAGCCAATCCAAAGCGCTTGCCCTTCACGAGGAAAGCTTTGATACCTCGATGCGTGATGATGGCGATGTTGCTACACGTCGCGGAGTGATCTTTCAGCCTTCTTCGCACTCGCTCAGCACGCATAGTAGCCGCTTCAGTGCTATGCTCGGGATAGTCCCACTCTTCATTGCACTCGGAGAAGTCAAATTGGGGAAAGTTTGACGCTAGCTCTTTTCGCGACAAGCCCTTGTTGCAGACGGCATCGTTGGCTTCCCGAAGATCAGGCCAGATCTGAACGGGTATGTGAAAGGAACCTGCCTCCGTCAAGAACGGAAACATGTTTATCGCAGTTTGTATGGTGCGCGTCATGGGCGAGATGAGGATCAGATCTGGCTGGACTGAGAGATTGACGCGTTTGGTGGAGACATTGCCGGCTTTTGTCAACGGCGGATCTCGGTGTGGATAGCCGCGCTGAACGTTGTGCAGTGCCTCGCCATGGCGTATGATATGTACACGCGCTGCCATGATGTTCTTACAAGTAAGTGGATGACGCGGGTGTTGAACGTAGGAGCACTGAAGACCGCCGCTCAGGGTTATCGATAAGAAGGCCTGAAGCTTAGCATCGCTTCAATCTTCGAAGCTCCGCTCCTGCGCGCTCATCTTCCACGTCATTGCACATATCGTCGTCAACTTCCTTTCTGAACGCGCTCCGGAGCTACTGGCCAGAATAATGGATTCGCTGCTTCTCTATCACATGCCCGAGGAATGCAGCTGCAGCTGGGCCCCCTTCGACGGCGCATGAACTTGTTCAGGAGATGGCGGCACCCACCGTCATCGATGCCAAGGTCGCCGAACGATCTCCGCTATCGGATGTTGCATCGATCTGCATCTGATAAGATGAGATTGATAAAATTCCCCACCACCTACTCCGCTGGAGCCAATCGCGAACACCGCACGTACGACGTCAACCTCTTTTTTAGGCAGAATGCTCGTACTGCGACAAGGTATAAGAAAACTCTGCGAGTGTCTATCGGCCGTAGCATTCGTGCAGTGCCCTGATGCTGATGGGTACGCGATGTGTTTTTGAGGCGTGCCGTGGGGCTTATAAGAAGCAAATGGAGGACTTTCATACCCTCAACATCTAAGCTTCTGCGGTGCTTTTCTCTGCCCATCACACCATGCGGTTCTCTGGCGTCGTTCTCGCCTCGCTGGCGTCCATCCTTGTCCATGCGCAGAACAACACCAATACAACCTCATCCTGGCCATGGCAAACCTTCAAATCTCGCCCGGGTTTCGAGCCCCCAGTACTTTCGGTCAACAAAACTGGTGACACAGCACCAGGAGTTATTACTTTCCCTCAGAGTGGAGGTGGGGCTCACAACTACAGTCTGAACATCTTCCAAGAAGATGGCGAGTTGGTTTGGCAATCTGGCTACGGCGACTACGCCGCCTTCAGAGTTTCTGAGCTCTTCGGCGAACCCGTACTGGCCTACTTCAGTGGCATCTCTCTCACAGAACCTTGGGGTTTCGGGTATGGAGTAATCTACATCCTCAACCAGCAATACGAGAGCATCTACAACGTCACTCTCTGGAACGAAACATACCCACTTGAGAGCATCTACCCGCTGTACGATCCTACCCAGTACCAACCTTTCAGCTGGGTTGATATGCACGAGAATCTTATCACGCCTGAGGGTACGATGTTCATTGCCGCTGTGAATGTCACGCCATGGGATTTATCATCCATCGGCGGCCCAAAGGATGGGTGGGTTGTGGATTCCATTGCGCTCGAGCTCAACGTTACGAACAGCGAGATCCTTTGGCAGTGGAGCCATCTTGACCACGTGGACGAAGTCTCGCTCGAAAGCGCTGTGCCAACGTATCCGCTTGGTGAGCTAGGCAAGAACAGCAGTTACCCTTGGGGCCCTTTCCACATCAACTCCATCGAAAGATTTGAGGATGGAAGTTACTTGCTCTCTTCAAGGCATTACTGCTCCATCTACAAGGTTTTCCAAAACGGCACCGTGGCATGGACTTTGAACGTAAGTTCTCATCCCAGTTCCCATCCTTCCGACGGTACGCACTAGTGGTGAGCGCCATGCTAACGAGACCCTAGGGACACTCCGGTGGCGACTTCGCCCTTGAGAATGGTCTTTCTTTCTGCTACCAACATGACGCGCGTATTCATCCGTCTCGTTCGCCCAACACCACCACCATCTCTCTGTTCAACAACGACAACAGCGCCGTTGTACCTAAAGTCAACGAAACTACCGGAATATTCCTCTCCATCGATGAGCGCACGATGACTGCGACATTGCTACAAGAACTCGCTGACCCAGACGATGTCATCTACTCAGTCAGTCAAGGCAACATGGAAGTTCTCCCCTCCAACCACTCTATCATGGGATACGGCAGCGTCCCGGCTCTGAAGGAGTTTGACCAAGATGGCGATGTTGTATTGACTGTGAAATGGGGAGAACCAGAGAAGGTGCAGAGCTACCGCGCTTACAAGGCCGAGTGGGTTGGTAAGCCGAGCACCAAGCCTGATGTGTACGCCTGTAAGGCGAGCAACGGCACAGAGGTCTACATGAGCTGGAATGGTGCCACTGAAGTTGACACGTGGTCTGTATTTGGCGGTGCATTCAACGGAACCCTTAGCAAGGTCGCCAGTGTTGAGAAGTCTGGTTACGAGACCAAGACAGTCGTGGGTCATAAGCTTGGGTTCGTGAGGGTAGAGGCAAGTGGCGAGGAGATTGAGACTGGTGTCTCGCGTGTCGCAGCGGTATCGGAGATGTGCTAGGCATCATGTGAACGATGGAAATAGTAATCGATGCATTACGCATCTGTATCTATAAATCGACACTTCATAGTACTCTCAGCCTACCATGGGTAGCCTCCTGTATTATGAATAAACTTTCCACATTCCTCGTCTCTCTTGCCATCAACAAGCTCCATAATGCTCTTCACGGTGTCCTCCGCACTCCTCGCACCAAACTCCACCTTGTTGTAAGGGCCTAGATTGGAAGCTGTGAAGCCAGGGTCATAGCAGAAGACCTTCATTTTGACATTGTCTGCCTCTTTCGCAGCATCAGCATCGCCCTCCCCAGCTTTGTCGAAGTCCACCTGCGGTATACCCAGCCCAAACTCCACATACATACACGAGCTGATCATGTTGAAGGCGACCTTGCTGGCGCGGTATGGGACGGCTTGGATTCTGTACATCGGGCTTTCAGTGGAGAGACGACGGCCAATTGATCCAGCACCTGACGAGATGTTGACAATGCGCGGGTTCGCGCTCTTCTTCAGCGACGGAACTAGGGCGTTGGTCAGAAGCCATGGACCCGTTGCGTTCACGTCGAAAGCCGTTGCCAAACGTTGGCGCTCCGTCAAGCCTTCGGGCAGCGCGACTGCAGCATTGTTGAAGAGGATGTCGAGTTTGCCGTATTTCTCCTCGATAAGCGTTGCGGTTTGCGCGATGTGGTCATCATTCTGCAAATCAAGATGCAGAAGCTCGATGCTGCCAGAAAGCTTGCGTGCTTGCAGGTCTTCGAGGGCGGCTGACCCTTTCGTAGTCGATCGTGAGGCAAGGAGGACGTGATATTGACCCCGCTTGAGGAGCTGGTGAGCAATCTCAAATCCGATGCCGCTGTTCGCCCCGGTGACGAGAGCAATCTCTTTAGCGATGGACTGCATTGTGAGTAATGTGAGGATGTGGTGTGACCAAGGGAGGAAGAGAAGTGTCGCAGTGACTTTAAGATGGCTTAAGATGGGCTTAAAGCCACAGTAATATATGTTTCCTACCTTCGTGGGAGTTTGGCTGCCGCCGGACTTACGAGCTCAAAATCCGCAATGATGCGCTGCAGTCGGCCTAGCGGTCGTGCAGCAGTCGTGTATGTAACCGGTGTCTATACATTGAAACGGTCATTCTACGACTAGTCAACCTTCTCGAGCGGATGAGAGTAGGCCAGGCCGGACTATCTGGACGCCTAAAGGCTTCAAGCCAGCGTTGGAGGCGCGGAGTACAGGTTTTGCACTTTCAATCGCCGGCGCTAGCATCGAAATGGATTAGAGGAATTGCACAAGCACCACCCGTGCGCTGTGAGCGTCATCAAGAGCTGGCACGCTGGAAGCATCGTGGAAGAGTCAGAATCGCTTAATTCGTTTTGCCAAGTATTGAATGCCATGCAAATATCTAAGATCCTTCGAACGAATGTATCACTACCTGACCTGCACTGCAATCCCATCATCACCCCGGATTTGCGGAGACAACGAATCGGCTCGCACCTCTCTCACTGCGACATCTGGGGACTTCAGCCAATCTTGCTGCACCAAACCTCTCCCGCGCTCGGTCATCTGAAGATTTGGAAGCTCCTCCCGTAATGCGATGATGCCACCTTTAACGCTACTTGCTGAGATGGCTTTGGCGCGGAGCACGCTCGTCGCAACACGGGCCGTATCACCCCCGTAGCAGACGATATATACATCTTTGCCAACAAGGTCATGCGCACTAATGCGCTCGTTTGTGAATGTTGATTCCAACTCTTTCCATTGCTTCTCGAGAACCGCGGCATCCGAGAACGGGCTTGGTGTGGAGGCATTCAGGCTTTGTAGCGGTAGGTTGTACGATCCTGGGATGTGACTAGTGACGAAGTCCTCTGGCTTCCTCAGATCAAGCAGAACGGCACCATTGCTTTCGCTTATAGATTCGGCGAACTGCGATAGCGCTCGTGTAGGTGTGAGTTCCCATGCTTCGTCGTAGCGGTACAGGTCGACTGCGGTGAGATTCTGCAGTCATGTTAGCTATGTTTGATGAAGTGTGACAGCAAAAAGGCCAGCTGCGAGAAGTAACAAGGGCAAAAGCGTCTCTTACCTGGTTGTGTATAGGTTGAAAGGCGGAACTTCCAAGCTTGTCGAAATATTCATCGATGTACTGATATGGGCCATCGCAGGCCACGAATGCGCAGTCGACGATGCCATTGGCCTCGGCAAGGTCGGATAATGTGCCGTCATTCTTTCGCTTTTCAAGATAGTTGAACAGCCCTGACAATGTCAGCGGCTAAACCTATACTTCGATATGGTTCCGCTTACCTTGCAAATTAAAGCCTGAAGATGGACCGCAGATCAGACCTGCGCGACAGAGTGCCAAGGATAGACTGAAAGCATCCTTGGAGCCCACCTCCTCAATGGCATCCACGGAATCGCGCCACGGGAACTCGACAGGGCTCAAGAGAGCGAGAGATCTAGGTCCTGGAACTCGATCGCCGGCGGCGGTGCATACACTGGGCACTTGGTCAGGCTGCATCTCCATCAACGATGAGAATCCGTCGACTCACCCCAATCGAACCACAGACGGCTTCGCTGATTTGAAATATTGGCCGAGCCCTGTCATCGTCCCAGACGTACCCATGCCCGCGCACATGAGACGGATATTGGGTAATTGTTGATGTATTTGCGGTCCGGTCCATTTGACGTGCGATTGCCAGTTCTTGAGAAGTTAGCTTGTGCCGCTCACTAAAAGCAATGGAGTAGCTTACTGCGTCGTTTTCGTATTGATTGACGTTGAGAATTGCTTCGTCCTTTTCGGCCATCATTCTAGCTCGATGTATGCCGCCGCGTTCGTCATGTGGTTCTGGTTGAGAAGGGCCACCGAAGAGCGTACTGGCAGTGAGTTAGATGGCTTCGAAACACAAATGATTCCTGCTCGTACATGTCCAGTCCGAAAAATTGCATGAGCCTAAGTTTTGGAGCCGAAGTCTTGTTACTCAAGAAGGCGCGAACATCTTGTATCCCGTGGTTAATACGAGACACCAAGGCCAGAGATATGACGGTAGATCCCGAACTGTACTCGACTACTGTCTTGGACTTCTCTGGGTGGACCTCTTTGGTCAACATGTTCAACGCTGGCGTGACATTAGCGATGTCAGGTGCTGACTGCGCTCTTCTACTCCACACATACCAGGCATGATCTTGACATTGTTCGAGGGATGCATAGACATCATCTTCGCGTGTATCCTAACACCATCGTTGTAGTACGGGTTCAAGCTTGGCGGAATCTCAACGAGAGGAATCATTGGTGTGCGGTCGGGGTCGAAATAGTTCTGGAGAGCATCTGGCCCCGAATAGGCGTTCAAATAATTCCGTGAGACCATGTTGAAGTAAGCAAAAGTTGTACGAGACAGTACGAGTGCAGCCCAAGCGCTGGAACTGACTGCTCTTTAACTGAGCGCTTTCGCGGTGACACATCGGAGCCTGCCTGTCGAAGTCGATATTGAACCAAATGATCTACAGCACCGGGATATTTTTGCGTGGGCATCATGCAACATGCAACGATGAAGGTGCTCATCGGTGTCACTTCATGGGTGCTAGTGCTGGGGCGAAGATCAATCCCGAAGTGGGACTCGTACGGTAGGATTCCCGCTGCAGCCATGGGAACGTCCCGCATCGGCCAAGACGTGTAAATATAATTTACGGGCGAGAGCGCAACACAAAAGATGACGTGAGAGGGCTCATTGGACGGGATGGTGATGGTCGTTGATGGCTTCGAGGCACATTGAGGCACATTGAGCACATTGATGGCGGCGAGTCAGGACGAGACGCGCTTGTACTAGTATGTTTTCGGACTAGCGTTGACGCGACATGGGCCACCCCACGGGTGTTCTGGAGTTTTCAATGTCACAAACCTCGCCATGTGTCGGCCTGACACGACGACAGGGTATGAGAGAACATTTGACGTGCATATGTCGCAATTCTTCACCGAAGCCCGCCCCTGCGTGGAGCACACGCGCATAGTCGCCCTCATTGTACTCAACAGCGTTCCCGATGAGCGCGCCACGAACTGGACGTGCTGCGACACCCATTGCTTGTTGCACATTGCTGGTAAATGCCAGTCATAGTACCTATGCACAGAGATATTTGGCATCCAACAGGACCAAAGAAGCTAGGGCACGAGCGTAGACGCTTACACATCTAGTTTGCATCGCGCACTTTGCAAGGATGTATCCGGTTCCTTGCATCTTACGTTCTCGGAAGTATACACAAAGTGGAAGATCAAATGATCGGCGTCGATGGACCAAGTTGAGTACTACATGTCAGATTGCGGTCCCAGACTGCGTTGGCATCTGCACCGACGTTGTCTCCACCGCTTCAAGTCGTAGTCATATCTGTCGAGCTCGGCCCGTGTTGAGTCGTGCTATTCTTTTATCAAGCCATCCCAAGACACCACAGACTTCGCGAAGACGAGAAATCGAACCTTTCTGAACCATGGCCACACAAGACCAGCCCCAGGCTGCCATGAGCACACCGGAAAAATCTCCTGCAGAAGCCTCCTCTGTTCAGGCGCCAAGACAGCCTCCAGAATTCAACGAACAAACCAGTACGGTATGCGCAGATGACATTCCGAATTTTGCTGACTCCATACTCCAAAGACTATGTACCAGTCAAGACGATCATTACGGTGGGTACTTACCCGGCTATTCTCCCTTTCGGTACTTACGTATTCGCAGATTTTCCTTGCTTGCGCGAGCGTCGACTTGCTGGCCTTGATGGATCAAACAACACTTGCAGCTAGCTTGACCATTGTCAGCAAGGATCTCAACGCCAGTAACGAAAGCGCGTGGATCGCAGGCGCATACTTCTTGACGTCCACGTCATTCCAACTTCTCTACGGGCGGCTTTCTGACATTTGGTCCCGCAAGGTGCTCTTAGTTATCGGCATTGGCATCTTCTTTCTCGGCTCGCTAGCTGCTTCCTTGGCACAGTCCGCCCTGCAGCTGATCGTCTTCCGTGCATTCATGGGCGTTG